AAAATGTTCATCATCATTAGTGATGACAGAAATGCAAATCAAAACCACAATGAGATAGCACTTTACAGTCACTACAATGATTATAATAAAGAAAAAAGACAGCTAATAACATGTATTGAAGATGTGGTGAAATTGGAACCCTCAATACACTGCTGATGAGGACATAAAATGGTACAGCAATTATGGAAAATAGTCCAGCAGTTTCTCAAAAGGTTTTCCATAGTTATATGACCAACAATTCTACTCCTGGGTACATACGGAACAAAAATGAAAACTTACGTCCACACAAAAACTTGTACAAGAAGGTTCTTAGCAGAATTACTCATAATCGTCAAAATGGAAAGAGCCTAAAATGTGATAAACTGGAGTACTATTCAGCAATACAAAGGAATGAAGTACAGATATATACTACCCTGTTTCCCTGAAAATGAGACAGTGTCTTATATTAATTTTTTCTTCCAAAGTTGCACTAGGTCTTATTTTCAGGGGATGTCTTATTTTTCCATGCGCTAGGTCTTATTTTCGGAGGATGTCTTATTTTCGGGGAAACACGGTATTACTATGAAAGAACCTTGAAAACACTAAGTGAAGAAAGCCAGGCACGGACCACATATTGTATGGTTTCATTTATATGAAATGTCAGAACAGGTATCCATAAGGATAGAAGTAGATTAGTGGCTGGGAAGGTGGGGAGACATGATGACTTCTTCATGGTTACTTTATGGGTAGTGGTTTCTTTTTTGGAGCCATGAAAATGTTCCAAAATTAGATAGTGGTGATAGTTGCACAAATCTGTGAATAAACTAAAATCCACTGAATTGTACACTTGAAAAGAGTGATTTTTACTTTATGTCTCAAGAAAGCTGTTATGCCGGGACCGGTTTGGCTCAAAGGAGAGAGTGTCGGCTTGGGGACTGAAGGGTCCTGGGTTCGATTCCGGTCAAGGGCATGTACCTTGGTTGCGGGCATATCCCCTGTAGGGGGTGTGCAAGAGGCAGCTGATCGATGACTCTCTCATCGATGTTTCTAACTATCTCTCTCCCTTCCTCTCTGTATAAAAAATCAATAAAATATATTTTAAAAAAAAAAAGAAAGCTGTTATAAAAGATTGTGTAGTCATTCTAAATATTGATTTATGCTAATCACTCTAACACTAATATGGAAACCAAAGCTTCTTTTTTCAACCGGATATGTTAAGACTTAGAAACCTACACCTTTCAGGAATCTCAGCTCCTATGAAATTCTAACATCTAATTTCAATTTCTCTCCCTGTAATTTAATCCCACTCGGCCCTGTGCCTAAATTTAAAAATTAACCTCAATACAACTCACAAAATCTCTCCATGAACTTGAAAATTCTAAGTTCTTACCTGATTCCTACAATGTAGCACCATAAATCCTTTACAAAGACAATCCAAGTTTTTTAGCCATTACCATAACTTATGCACTGGTAAGAATTTTATATTCATCCAATCTTCACTAAATTATCTCCAATTTACCATCAAGAAAAACATTTTACAGATGTTAAGGAACTTAACTAAGATCACACAGCTAAAATTCAGAAATACCAGAATTTGAACCCACATTAGGAAATTATGACTTGCATGAAGTCATAATTATAAGAAGAAAGCTAAGTAAAAAATAACCAATACGTGAAAATGTCAATAACTTATGTGGTTCATCATGGCCTCAGGAGAAGACACTTGTAAAATTGCTAATACTGTTTAATATCAAAGTATACCAGGGGGCAATATTCTGGGTAGTACAGGTCAGGATACTGATTAGGTATTTAAAGAACCCTGTCTGCCACAGAAGAGTAAATACCCTTACTTCCCAGTCTTAAATTCACTTCATTATACATACCCACTGTCAATCCCAAGAAAGAATATACCTGTCCAGAGGACTCCTATGGTCAACTGGGCCCAAATTCATAGTCTAACAGCCATTGTTTAGAGACCTCTCACACTAGCTATGCCTCAGGGAAAAGCCATAGACTGACCAGCCAAACCTCCTGCCTTGTGTTCCTGCCATCTGAGCAGACCCTATAAACACCTGCTATTGTATTTTAACTTAATGGACTGGGACCTTCCCATCCAATCAACAGCTGGCAGCTATATCTTCACGTGCATATTTACCAACCAACCAGAGCAGCTCCAGAATTGCCAATCAGAACAGAGAGAACTTGGGAGTCTTCATTTGCATGAAATTAGGCCTATCAGGAACAGGGAGCGGGCCTTTTTCTCTAATATAAGACAGCCTCCCTTCCCTCTCCCAGGAGGGCATTTCCAGTTTCTACTGAAGACTGCATTTCCAGGGTTTTCAAACTGTGTCAACTGAGCTGTTTCACTGGAGCAGCTTCACTTGAATAAAGTTTCTGCCTTCACAGCACCACAAATTGGGAATTCTGTTGGCATTGCACGGGTGGCAACAACCTTTTTGACACCATGCCAAGTTCAAAGAGAGATGCAAGGGTCTTGTAGAGAGGCATTGAAGCTTAACAGAGAAGTACTGGCTTTGGAGCAAAACAGATTTCAATTCACATCTCCATTTGGCCACTATTTTAACTCTCTAAATATTTAGTTTCCTCTTTTTTCTCTTATTTTTTAGTTAGCAGTCTTTTTAAATTTTTTATTGATTGATTTGAGAGAGAGGGGAAGGGAGATAGAGGAACATCAATTTGTTGTTCCACTTATTTATGTTTTCATTGGTTGTTTCTTTTATGTGCCCTGACTGGGGATCAAATCTGCAATCATGGTATATCGGGACAAATAACCATAATCCAACAACCCCAGAACAACTTGTTAAACTACTGAACACTTGCTTTGGGAGGGCGGGTGGTAGTCAGTCAGACCATTTCCCTTTCTCTGTATTTTTTTTGCCTAGTTGAATTTCTGTAATATAAAAAAGGGAGAAAACAAAATGTAAAACAGCCACTCAATTTTGCCTTCCTTTGGGGGGCAAGTTTTCATACTGTTAAAAGTTTTGAGCTATTAGAAAAATGAGATTTGAGGATTGTCTGTAGAGTTGGTCCTCACTGACTCACAGATCCATTTATCAAAGATCTCAAAATGCATTTACAGCTTGAGAACTGCAGGTAAAACTATCGAGCCCTGGCCGGGTAGCTCAATTGGTTAGAGTGTCCTCCCAATATCCCAAGGCTTCAGGTTCGGGTCTCTCTCTCCTCCTCCCCCCTTTTTTCTTCTCTCTCTAAAATCAATCAATAAAAATAATGTTAGATGATTAAAGGTTACACATTATAGCCTGAGTTAGAGAAAAAACAAAAACAAAACAAACAAAAAACCTGCCTTTTCCCCCGGGGACCTTCTACTTTGGAAGTCTGAGGAACTCCAGGAAAAGGAGAAAATTTTTCCAGAAATGTTCGGCCTATCAAATAACCAGAACCCTCAACCTGCAGCAGGGAATGAAAGGGAAATCAACAGGAAACATACATAAGCAGATATCATGTCTAGAACAGAAAACAAACAGGAAATACTTTAAAAGGCCAAATTGCAAATACAGATTAACAAAGAGTCAAAATTAAATACTGGCAGATGCACCTGTTAAAGGAAAAGAGGAACAGACTAGGTCTTAAGCCTTCAATGCAAACACCACTTCCTGCTCTGGCACGCTGTCCAGTGGGAGGACGCTGGGGATGCCGGCTAATTCCAAACTGCTTAACTCTGACTCAGTTTCTTTATTCTGTAAAAAAGATACATTCTGCACATCTCGTTGGCAACTCTTCAGTGCTGTACAAATCAGCATCCCTTTCCTACTTCCCGTGAGTGCCACATGGAATTCATTTCACACAGGTGGGAATGAGTTATTTCAGGGATGCTGATGCGAACATGCGCCCAGCCCGGTGGAACCACAACAGTGGAAGTTTAGCAAGAAAACACGGGACTCTGAAGCCGGGAATCGAAAGTGGCACAGACAAGTAGACAAAAAAAAAAAAAAAAAATAAAATAAAAAAGCAGACACTTAGATGCCAAGCCTCAAACGAACCACAAGAGAACATGTTCCCATACACACACTATCCATCACAAACAAGATAACGCCCCTGGTAGTAACTGTAAACCACTTGGTTATCGCCCAGCCATGCCATTTGTCCAAAACCCACCCACCGGTACACCCTAGTGTTAACGCGTGTGCTTTCATCCTAGCTCTTCTGCACACACTCCCACCTAACAAGTTCCACTTGTTGAAGATCCCGGGATTTTACACTTTGATCCGCTTGATGTTCCCAAAGCAGATCACGAACCTCTTAAAGGGGATGTTTGTCTTCTCGTTGTTGGCCAACAAGCACGGGAAAGAGAATGAATTCTTTAAAAGGTGAGGACTTGCTATACTGTTCAATGCTTAAAGCTGTCTTAGTGAGAGGATTTACTGCCATGGACACCTAAAACAAAGGGAGAGACTGCCTCGATGAGGTTTCAATACGCGGTAGTAACAACGAGGAAGACTTGCAAGTGCCCAGCGCCGGTCCCCAAGCCCGCAGCCGCGGGACCGCGAGACCTCCCCCCGGGACGCGGCTCCCGGACGCGGGCGCCCTCCACGCCGGGAGGGCGGTCGGCGGCGGGCCGGGAGCCTGCTCCGATCGGCTGGGGACCCTTCTCGGAGTCGACCGGGGAACCCACCGCGTCCCGTCCCGGCGGCCTCCGCCAGCCCGACCGCCCGGCCTCCCTTCGATCTCCCTCCCACCCGGCCCGCGCCGCCCGCCGCGCTCACCGCGTTCTTCTTCTGCACCATCTTGTCCATCTTCTTGGCAATGCGGATCACCTCGTCCTCCATGGCTCCGGCAGGTCTTCGCCGGGCCCAGCCCGTATGGGACGGGGAAGCGGGTGAAACCGGGACAGAGACGCCGGCGGGACGCGAGCTGCGGCGCCCGGCGAGCCCAACAAGGCAGGCCCGGCCTAGGCCCTACCACTAGAACCAGCCGGCGGCGGCGGCGGCGGCGGCGGCGGCGGCGGCGGCGGCTCCGCCCCCCGCAGGCAGCGCCAATCAAACCCCGCGCGCTCCGGGCAGTCGCTACCAATCGACAGGGGAGCATCGATGCGAAGGGGCGGGGCTGCGCGCCGGCCGGCGCCGCGGCGGTGGGGCGGTGAGCCAGCTCGGCGTCGGCGTTTCCCGCCTGGCCGCCGGGGAAGCCTACGGGCGGCGAGGCGAGGCGGGCTTTCGGCGCGCGTTCATCCCGGGCCCGCCTCCCCACAGAAGGAAGCTTCTCCCCGGGCCGGTCTCCCGAGTGGCCCGAAGGTTTGGAACCTGCGGAGGCCCACGGAGCTCTGAACCGAGGTGGGTTTGCAGAATGGAACGCTGTCGTTTACTAAAACCAGCGACACCCAAGCATCTGCTTCGTAGACGACCTTGGAAAACAGACACCCCTCCCTAGAGCCGTTTGTCTATGGGTTAATTTTTGTTGTTGTTTTTGTTTTTTATCATATGGGTTTAATCCTAAGTTTTTCCTTCGTGTTTTTATACTTTTTTTTTTTTTTTACATTTTTCTTATTGTTGATAATATTAACAGATATGTCCCATTTCCCTCCCAGCTCTTTCCCATCCCCACCCCTAGGTCATCCCCTGCGGCTGGGGCTGGGGCTGGGGCTGGGGCTGGGGCTGGGGCTGGGAAAAGGCTGCCTGGTGCGCAACTTTGGTCCTTCGGACAGTGGTCGGCAAACTCATTAGTCATAGAGCCGAATATCAACAGTACAACGTTTGAAATTTCTTTTGAGAGACAAATTTTTTAAACTTCTAAACTTCACTTCTTCAAAATAGACTCGTCCAGGCCGTGGTATTTTGTGGAAGAGCCACACTCAAGGGGCCAAAGAGCCGCGTGTGGCTCGCAAGCCACCGTTTGCCGACCACTGATCCAGGAAAGGAAACCGTGAACTGTGGATCTCTTGCAGCTCCAAACACATTGCCCAGGGACACTCACAGGTAGTATCTGACATTGGCCTGCACCAGAGCCCCTCCCAAGAGGCCCCAGGAACATCTAGCATAGTTTCAGGGACCTTTCAAACAAAATGAAGCATAACAACACCCCCATGTTGGCGGTGGAAGAAGAGGGAGAACAAAGGATGAAGAACCTAGGAAGAAATAACAAAAAAATTCCACAACTTGAAGAAAAAAGACACGGAAGAAACTCGCAAACAAGATGAACACAAAGAGGCCAACACCAAGATTAAAATGGCAAAGTTTAAAGACAGAACATCAATGTTGAGAATCATTGATTGCCTGCCTCCTGCATGTCCCACACTGGGAATGGAGACTGCAACCCAAGCATGTGCCCTGACTGGAATCGATCTGTGATCTTGTTGATAGACACTTAACCACTGGGCCACTCTGGCCGAGCAAGAGGCAGTCTTAACAATCAGAGCAAGACAGTTACCTACAAGGGAGCTCCCATAAGACTGTCAGCTGATATTTATCTCCACAGAAATATTTCAGGCCAGAAGAGAATAGTTTGAAATACTTCAATATTTAAAGTCATGAAAAGTGAGGACCTAGAACCAAGATTACTTTACCCAACGATGCTATTGTTGTACTTCCAATCTTACAAAGGATGCCTCAAGAAGTCGAATTATGGAATCATTTATTAAAAGCCGGCAGCATACGAGGGGCAAAAGAGCTCCTGGTCTCGCAGCTCTAACAAGCTTGCCACCCCTGGCTTATATTGGCAGAATATCACAAAGGTATCGATTACATCTTTGGGTCTGGAATGAGGAACCTGGGTCACTTAAAGCAGTTGCAGAAGCGAAATTGAGCGAGTTAGTTATCTAAAGTATATTTTTGGGTCTATGGATCACTGAATCAACAGAAACACATTATCTGGAACCACCGGAGGAATTTAGAACAATTGTGCTGTCCAGATTCTGGGACCACTGAGAACCGAAATGCATTATCTGTAGCTACTGAGGCAATTTAGGGTAATTGTGCTGTTCTGATTCCGGGGCCACTGATCAACTGAAACTCATTATCTGTAGCTACTGAGGCAATGTTAGGATAATTGAGCTGCCTTGGTTCCAAGAAGAAAGTGCTTCAATAACCAGTGAGATCACAATCAATGGGATACTCAAACCGCCATCAATGGAGCACTCAATCTATTGGGATAGCATACATTAGTTCAGAAAAATCAAAATAACTGTTCTATTGTTTCAGCAAGCAAATGAGTACAGAACCCAAAACAGCAGAGTCAAAATATTAAACAGCAATTTTTACCCAAGCATTTTTGCCACCATGCTTCACTATCCATTTTATTTTTTTTATTTTTTTAAAATATATATATTTTATTGATTTTGTACAGAGAGGGAGATAGAGAGTTAGAAACGTCGATGAGAGAGAAACATCGACCAGCTGCCTCTTGCCCATCCCCTACCGGGGATGTGCCCGCAAGCAACGTACATGCCCCTCACCGGAATCGAACCCGGGACCCTTCAGTCCCGCAGACCGACGCTCCACCACTGAGCCACACCGGTTTCGGCTTCACTATCCATTTTAAAATTGAAGGAGAAGCTTTGCCCAGTGGCAGTATCTTGGCCAATGAGGTGTATCCAAGGTATTATTATTGCTAATTGAAAAAAAATAATTAAAATAAAATTGAAGGAGAAATAAAGATCTTGCCAGATTTCATTACCACTAAGGTAGTACTTCAAGAAGTGTTATAAGACCTTCTTAAAGATGCAGGAGTACGAAAAAAGAAGAAAGAGAAGAGGAAAAGATGATAAAATAAAATGGCAAAATATATGTAACTATCAGTAATCACTTTACATGTAAATGGCTTAAATGCACCAATCAAAAAAGGATATAGTAACTGAACGTATGAGAAAACGAGAACCATATACTGCCTGCAACAGACCCTACACTAAAAGTAAAGGGACAGAAAAAAGTATTTCATGCATATGAGAAAAAGCTGGGGTAACAATAGTGTGGTGAAGTCCTCTGGTGGGGGGTGAAGGGGAACAGGGTGGTAGGGGATAAAGGGGAAGGACATCTGTAATACCCTGAACATAAAAATAAAATTTAAAAGATAGGTGATAATAAATGTTGGCAAGAATGTGGAGAAAACGGAACCCTCACGGTGACTGAAAATGCAAAATGGTGCAACCACTTTGGAAAACAATCTGGCAGTTTTTTAAAAAGTTAAAGATAAGATCAAGCAATTCTATTTATAAATATATTACCAAGAGAATGAAAACATATGTTTACTTGGATATGAATGTTCATTGTAGCAGTATTAATGCCCATAGTGGAAATGACCCAAAAGATGAATGGATTAAAAAATGTGGTCATTTCATACAATGAAATGTTAATTCAGCAATAAACAGAAATGAATTACTTAATGATACATGCTACAAAATATGTACCTTGAAAACATTTTTTTTATATATATATATATTTTATTGATTTTCTTACAGAGAGGAAGAGAGAGGGATAGAGAGTTAGAAACATTGATGAGAGAGAATGATCAATCAGCTGCCTCCTGCACACCCCCCACTGGAGACGTGCCCGCAGCCAAGGTACATGCCCTTGACTGGAATTGAACCCGGGACCTTTCAGTCCGCAGGCTGACACTCTATCCACTGAGCCAAACAGGTTTTGGCTTGAAAACATCTTAATATAAAAGGCAGTCACAAATGATTCCATTGATATGAAATGTCTAGAATAGACAAATCTAGAGACCAAAAGTACAGTAGTGCTTTCCTAGGGCTTAGAAAGGTGGGGAAGTAGAAACGGGCACAGGATAGTTGCTATAGGGCACAGGGCTACTTTATAGGGTCATGAAAATATTCTCAAATTGTGATGATTAATAATTTTGAATATAGGAAAAGCTACTGATTTGTATACTTTAAATGAGCAAACTGCATGGTATGTTCATTATATCTCAAAGCTGTTACCAAATATATATATATATATATATATATGGTTTGTATTATGTATATGGTGACTGAAGGAGATTTGACTTTGGATGCTGAACATACAATGCAATATACAGATTGTGTATAGGGTTGTATACGTAAAAGCTATATAATTTTATTATCCAATATCAGCTCAATTAAGAAGTTGTGGTACACATATACAATGGAATATTATTCAGCCATTAAAAAACAAAAACGTGCCGGGACCAGTTTGGCTCAGTGGATAGAGCGTCGGCCTGCGGACTGAAGGGTCCTGGGTTCGATTCTGGTCAAGGGCATGTACATTGGCTGCAGGCACATCCCTGGTGCGGGATGTACAGGAGGCAGCTGGTCGATGTCTCTCTTTCATCGATGTTTCTGGCTCTCTATCCTTCTCCCTTCCCCCTTCCTCTCTGTAAAAAATCAATAAAATATATTTAAAAAAAACAAATAAAATAAAAAAACGTACCATTTACAACACATGTGTCAAACACAAGGCCCGCGGGCCAAATCCGTCCCGCCAGGCCTTGCAATGTGGCCCACACCGCACTGTCATCACTGCACTCCTCTGTGTTTCCATCACAATGACAGTTTATGACTGTTCAGTAAACCATTCGGCCCGCGATTTAGGCTGGATTTTAGATTTTGGCCCCTTCTCTGATTGAGTTCGACACCCCTAATTTACAACAACATGGGTGGATCTAGAGGCTGTTATAGTAAGTGAAATAAGACAAAGACAAATACGTAATTTCATCTACTTGTGGAATATAAAAAACAATAAGTGAACAAACAAAACAAACTCATAAGTACAGAGAACAAACATGGGTTGCCAGATGGTAGGGGGACTGAGTGGATGTGTGGGGAAAAATTGAAGGGATTAATAAATACAATTTGCAGTTACAAAATAGTCATGGTGATATAAAGTACAGTTTAGGGAATACAGTTAATGATGTCATAACTATATGTATGATGTCAGGTAGGTGACTTATTGGGGGTATCATTTCACACGTTATATAAAGGTCTAACCACCACCTCAAACTAATATAATATTAGTTTGTAATTGAAACAGAAAAGTCTTTAAAAAAATTTGGATAACTGATTTATGACACTAATTAAAAACAACAAACCACGAATCCTATATAATAAAGAGGTATTGGTAATATGCAAATTGACCATCACTCCAACACACAAGATGGCCACTCCATGTGGTCAAAGTCGGCCACCCCCATGTGGACACAAATTGGCCACCAAAAGATAGCCAGAAGGAGAGGGCAGTTGTGGGCCATCAGGCCAGCAGAGGGTAGTTGGGTGTGACCAGGCCTGCAGAGGTGGACAGTTGGGAGGGGACAAGGACTGTGGGGGATGGGGGGGCAGTTGGGGGTGACCAGGCCTGTAGGGGAGGGCAGTTGGGGGGAACTAGGCCTGCAGGGGAAGGCAGTTAGGGGCAACCAGGCCTGCAGGGGAGGACAGTTGGAGGCAACCAGACTTGCAAGGGAGGGCATTTAGGGGTGACCGGGCCAGCAGGGGAGGGCAGTTGGGGGTGACCGGGCCAGTAGGGGAGGGGAGTTAGGAGTAACCAGGTCTGCTGGGGAGGGCAATTGGGGGAACCAAGCCTGCAGGGAAGTTGGGGGTGACAGGGCTGACAAGAGCGGGCAATTACAGGTAACAAGGCTGGCAGGGGAGGGTAATTAGGGGCAATCAGGCCAACAGGGAAGCAATTAGGTGTTGGTCAGGCTGGCAGGGGAGTGGTTAGAGGCAATCAGGCAGACAGGTAGGTGAGCGGTTGGGAACCAGCAGTCCTGGATTGTGAGAGTGATGTCCGACTGCCAGTTTAGGCCTGATCCCAGTGGGCAGTCAGATATCCCTCTAGGAGTCCCAGATTGGAGAAGGTGCAGGCTGGGCTGTGGAACACCCCACCACCCATGCATGAATTTTGTGCACCGGACCTCTAGTATTATATAAAAGGATGATAAAAGAAAACACCAAACAAAACTTCTTAGTTTAGGAATGCTAAAAAATAATGTATTTTTTAGCTTATTAAAATTTCATAGCAAGAGCTTTTCTCATGCCTGGTTCCATTTCTCAATGTATATTCTTGTGATTACATTGACATTTTCCTCCTTTTCATTATAGACAGTCATTTCAAGGCAAACCCAAATGTTAAAAGTAATCTTCAAAAAAGCAGTCACAAAAAAAGTGAGAATTACATTTTATTTCACATTAATAGAAACAGTGGGAAAGATTTACATTTTCCCCACATTACAGCACATTTCAATATTATCTCTTACGATAAATCATATCTTGCTGATCTATATAATTGAAACAAATTTATATTTTTCAAGGTAAATCAAAATGACTTATTAAATGATTGTTTAAAAATTTTAAATCGACATAAACATATGGCTTCATTATTAACATTCTATATAGTCCATTACTAAAGATGCATTCCTAACATTGTTTTAGTCAGTTGGAATACAGAAGAAAAATTATAACAGCTCAGAAGTATGAAGCATACATTTTTGTTACACATTAAACTGTGTATTAACCATATGCATTGAATTCTGACTAACCTTCATAGCCGACAAATTTGTTTTCAAATAGTTTTTACCAATAATCTAAAAATTCCCAACTATTTAAAATCAAATAATTGCTACTTTTATGTTTGCACAAAGTTTTGTTTTTTTTTAAATCATCTGACTAAAGTGAAAATTTCAAATAAATTCATTGGCAGATGAAAGTAAAGAAAAATTTTCTAATGGACTGTTCATTTCCTGCAGTAGCTGATTTCAAACATATGTACAAAATATGCAAACTCATATTTTCCGCTACAAGGAGAATCATCTTAGAGCAAATCATCTTAGAAATACAGTTTTTAAGATTGGTCTTAAATCTTCCAAAACATACTAGAGTATGACCTAGTAATTATTTTGAGTGAATTACAGAAAAATACAACCACAGAATTATTCCTTACCTAGACTGAAAATTCTATTAACTATTATATAAGTCTAACTTTGGACTAAGGTACAGTTTAAAAAATAAGTAATGTAGGAAGTCTGAAGTGATGTTTGGTTTCTTTATGTAAATGTAAATATATTTTAAATACCATCATGTTTATGATTCAGAATGTTAAATTACAGCATATATTGATAGCAGATTTGTATGGCAAGGAGGCAATATTTGGTCTGTTATGAAGGATAAAAGGAAAGAATACATTTATTTTTGGAGAGGAAAACAGAATATTAAGAAATTGTGCTCTGGCTGGGTAACTCAGTTGGTGAGAGTGTCATCCCGAAATGCCAAGACTCTGGTTTCGATCCCATCAGGGCACATACAAGAATCAACCAGTGAATGTATAAATAAATGGAACAACAAATCAATGTTTCTCTCTCTCTTTCTCCCCTACTCTGCCTCTCTCTCTCTCTCTAAAATCAATAAATAAATACAATTTTAAAGAAATTGTAATAGGGAAAGAAAAGCCTGGTCCCCAAAATAAAAGGGCCATTCGTTGAAGAGAGCAATGCTACTCTTTATTGACACTTAGAAGCAATATCCCTGTTATTAGGAATAATGTGGTAACACCTCATTCTTTTTATGTATTATAATCATTAAGTATATCTGATACAAATAGAAAAAGTACACATACTGCATGGTGACTAAGTAATTTTGGAATAAGTCCACAGACTAAGTCACAGCATTCATAAATAGTTTATATCTTAACTGCTCATTTATCCCTGAACAAGTTTTCATTAAGCAGACTAATAATTTTCAAATGATGTAATAGAAAAATCTGGATGTAGTATTTTATTATTTTGCCGAATTACATGTTGGGAGAAAGAAGCTAGCTGTTTCACTTATGCTAATGCTAGTATATTCTGGATCATGTTATACAAATTCATGTACTGAAATGTTAAAGATCGTACATTTTCCACAAGGAGATATTTAGACTGTGTCATTGGTGTGTAATTAAAAAAAAAATTTTAAGATTGCAAACATTATAACTTTCGAGATCTGGCACAGGAAGAGGTTTACTCTCTACTAGATACAATGATGCTGGTGTGTACTTCTACACAAGGCGCCTTAGTGATGTCAATCAACTGGAGGTAGGATTTTATCGATGAATTGCCTGATGTCCAGCATTTCCTGTTTGGAATAAAGTGATTTAATAAGCAAGTTACACAAATCAGAAATTAAATCCCCACTAAAATACCACTAACTAAACCCGTGGTGTGTGTACATAAGGTGTAACAATATTTTTACTACTACTATCCCTTGGATTTTTTCCCTCATGATATCCTCCCATGGTGATTCTTCACTGATCAATAATATTGATAATTATTCTAAACCTTGACTACAAGCTTGAGCTTCAGACAAGGATTTCCAATATCTGATGAAATAAAAAGTTATAACAGAGAAAGGAGCCTCCAATAGAAATTTCATATCATTTTGATTATTGTACATTCAATATGGCTCACACTAATATCTACTCCCATGAAAATGCCTGCATTTTGCTATACCTGAACAAATAAAACATGGGGGTGAGAAGGGATGAAGGGGTCTTAGAAATGACAATAACCTATACCGAGAAGTATTAAGAAGTATACAATGACTGCCAACTACATATACGTGGGAAAGCCTAGCTTTTAACATTCTCTTGTGAGAATGAAATGCTAAATCCACAGCATAAAATATTTTTGGCCTTGCTTCAGGATTTTGATATAATCAACCATTAGAAAGATAGCAAGCACCTAAGATAAGCCTGGAAAGATATGAAAATTAGTATAACCCAAATATAAATATTACAGCAAACTGTGTAATAAAAGACCCCTGTATCTGTTTCACAGTTGTCTCATTTCCCCTAAACATATTTCATTTCCTCCAATCAACTCTAGTATTTCAAAACTTAGCCCCCACAAATCAGCAATGCAGAAAGCCTTCAACCTGATACCTTAATTACTCAGAAAAAAAGCCACAGCATGAAAGTGATCTATTTTACAACTCTACAGTCCTTTAAAAGTTTCCTGTGACACCATCTCCTACTTTTCTAACTCTTCTCACTTTCTGTACCTAATTTTTCATCCAGTGTCCTCCAATGTGATTGCATAAAAAATCATCTAAGGAGCTTTTATTTAAAAAAAACAACTCCATACAAACATAGATGCGAGTTCAACCCCAAACCCCCAGTGGGCTGAGTCCGAATCACTGAATTTGGAGTTTGGGGATCTGTATGTTTATTAAGGTCTGGGGTCCTTATGGTACAAAGTCTACTTGGAAAACCACTGTTCTATTATAGATCCTCAGTCCCTCCTGGATGCTCACAGTGCCACCTTCCTTACTGGATTCAAAACTTCATGACAGTTCCCTTTTGTTTGTTTTTTTATGTTATTGATTCCATAAAACCAAAAAGTTATTTTAAAAGAACTTCTAGAAAACTGTGGGTATGACATCTGTTTGATAACTCTTAATTACAGAAAGCATATAGACCCACAAGTTACAAAAGCAAGGAACCACTGTGACAGTTTCAACCCTGTCCTTACAAATACCCTACATCTCAGGCCCCTTGTCTTTCTGGATAAATCATATTACGACCTGCTGTCTCTGCACTAAAGCAAGTGATTTAGCCAGGTTGAGCCGTTAGTTGCAAATGGTAACATAAACTACCTCCATGTTTAGCCACCAATTTTTAGTATAGGCTTCCCTCAGCCTCTAAATCTGTCCAGGCCTCCTTCCTTCTTATTAAGTGACCACATCTCCCCTATTTTACTGAAAAGATTGAAAGGATCTAATATAGGCTCAAAACTACTTTCTATCATATCTCAATAACCCATTCATATTCATCCATCCTCTTCTATCTTGATTCCAAAGTATTTTTCTCCTCTTTTAAGGCAACCACTACCCGTTTCAGGACTTAATTACATCATCCCTCTAGGACTTCCCATTATCAGTTCCCAACCTATCAGGGTCTCTTTCTTCCATCCTGTTAAATAAAGAACCTTCCTACTCTTTTGCAATTTTTCCAAAATCTTTTTTTTTAAAGGTTTATACATGTTGCCTCTACTTCCTCATTTCCCTGTCTACTTCACATAATCTATTTCAGTTTGGCTCTAACTCCCCAAACATCTGAGGTGCCTTCTTACTGGATAGTTTCTTCCTGGCCTATTTCTCCTTAGTCATTCTCTGAATCATCAGTTATTCCCATCTACTCAAAAATTCTCTCTTCCTGTACTCTAACTCAATACTTAACTCCTTTGAACTCCCACAGAGTTCTATCCCTTAAATTTTTTTCTCATGATATTCTCCCATGGTGATTCTTCACTGATCAATAATATTGATAATTATTCAATAATTATTCAAATCTTAATTACAGGCTTGAGCTTCGGACAAGTATTTCCAATATCCCATCCTGATATTATGGGAGCACACCAATCTCTATATGGTCATTAAACTCAGTAAGTATATCTCCTTCCTGTTACCCTAAAACTGTTCCTTGTACTACATACTTTATGAGTGGCATCATCTTCATCATCTGAGTTAGAAATATAAGGCCTCATTGATACTTTCCTATTCCACAGAATTAATCACTAAATCCTAATGGATTCTGCTTCACTTTTTTCTAGGATAGACATTACATGTTGCTTTGATTTAAAAAATAAAGAAAAAGTCAATGGCTTTCTGCTGTTTAGAGAACAAGTCCATTCTCAACACAACATAAAAGCTCTGAACAATCAAAAATTTCCTTTCTGCCTCTATTCTATGACACCTAGCTTTTCATGAGTCTACAGTCTAATGGGACAGCTTGCTTCTCTTATCCTAGTCTTTTCTTTGCACATTTACTATTTAAATCCTACCCTATTCAAAATCTAGCTCTTTCATCATGATCCAGTGTCTCCTAAGATAAAGTTAATCTCACCCTCTCCAGTTTTTCAAGTAGCCTTTTAAAACTTCCAATAGAACATATATCACATCTGCTTTCTATACTTCTCCCCTATTAAATTTTTAATGTTAATGAATCCTTTCTAAATTTTAATAAAAGGAAATTTTTTTTTGGTCTTAGAATTATGTGCAATGCTTGCATGTAACAGGAAATCAGTGACTGTTTGTTGAATTAATTGAAGAAGCTTTGATCTAAGTCCTGCTAACCTATGACTCAGAGTGAATTCATTAACTCCTTTAAAATCCCAAATGGTCAAATATTATTTATCTTGCAATATCACATGGAAAAAGAAGCAAATTACGTCTCTATAATCACTGTTTCCAGATATTTACCTGTGGACATGAACTATGCATCATGCCTTCATAGACTTTGAAGGTTACATTGGCTGGATTTACCAAAGTTTTTAGCTTTTCAGCAGTAAGAGAACCAAACATTAGAGGAACTAAAGGATCAGCATCTCCATGGCACTGAAGAATAGGAATATCTCTATTAACACCACTGATAGGACCCTGCAAAAACAAAACAAACAAACAAACAAAAAAAAAGCCCACAAAATAAACGTAGTATTATTTATTCAAATATATAGAACATTAAGCCAGGCATTTAAAACTATAGATAGATATGTGCATACAACATGTTATTACTTATAAGTTATATTTGGCCATAGAAATAAAATTCCTGCCATTCTTATAATCTCCACATCTCTTTATTTAAACAGAGGACATACGAATCACCTTGTCATATATTTTGTTTTTTCAATAAATTGGTTCCTTGAAGTAGATTCTATTCTTTATCTAGTCATACTGTCCTGACATGAGGTATGTTTCAGCTGACCCATGTTGTTCTCTTATTTAATTGACTTTAAGTAAGATGGTTAAGCCCTGGCCAGACAGCTCAGTTGGTTATAGCATCATCCCAATAAGCCAAAGTTGCCAGTTTGACCACAGGTCAAAGCACACACAAGAATCAACTAATGAATGCATAACTAAGAACAACAAATCAATGCTCGTGCACTTGCACGCTCTCTCTGTCTCTCTCTTTCTCCTTTACAATAAATAAATAAATAAAATAAAGTTAATAAATAGCACTTAATATGTAACCAAAGAGTTACTACATAATGACAAGAAAAAAACCTTATATTTAAAGACAAATTTGAAAATAAAATGCAGTCTACACCTCTCATGTATACTATATACTGATCTACCCTGTTGGGTATTTAGAAATTATATTTTATTTTGCAAAATCTGCTATCAGTGAGCATACTGAACATTCAAAAATATTTCTATGTATAAAAAATAGCCCTATTTTTTATATATCTTAAAATATATCAATCACTTTATTTTTTTAAAATATATTTTATTGATTTCAGAGAGGGAGAGAGAGAGATAGAAACATCAATGATAAGAGAGAATCATTGATTGGCTGCCTCCTGGTTGCCCCCCACAGGGTAACGAGCCTGCAACCCGGGCATGTGCCCTTGACTGGAATTGAACCTGGAACCCTTCAGTTCACAGGCCAATGCCCTATCCACTGAGCCAAACCAGTTAGGGTTCAACCACTTAAGATTTATGACAGTAGGACTTATTTCTTCCATTCTATATGGGTACACTACAATGAAGACAATGCAGTGTACCCATAAAAGCCTAGTAATACATCACAAAAGCCTAAGAAAATTCTGCCTGACCAACATGGCTCAGTGGTTGAACAGTGACCTATGAACCAGGAGGTCACAGTTTGATTCCCAGTCAGGGCACACGCCCAGATTGTAACTCAATCCCCAGTAGGGGGTGTGCAGGAGACAGCTGATCAAGGATTCTCCCTCATCACTGATGTTTCTATCTCTCCCTTTCCCTTCCCCTCTGAAATCAATTTAAAAAATATTAAAAGTTTAAGAAAGTTCTTGTTAAAAAAGTATGACAATTATAAACTCTGGGTTTTGAATGATGATGTATCAATGTAGGTTCATTGATTGTAATCAATGTGTTATTGTGCTGCAGAATGTCAAAAAGGGGGGAGGCTGTGCATGTATAGACACAGTGGGTAGGTGGGAACTTTCTGTACTTTCCACTCGATTTTGCTGTGAACCTAACGCTGCTCTAAAAAAAATAAAAGTTTATTTTAAGAAATGACCCTCTCCCCAATGTTCTCTGTTATCTCTTAGCTCAGTCATCTCATGTTGCATGAAGCAATCAGACTACCTGTGGAAATGAAGAACGAAGTGGAAGCCAGCAACTGAGGGCAGTGACACCAGCCAGTTTCTGCTGTGTGGTCAGAGCAGTGTATAAAGATAAAGCTCCTCCCTAGAAAGACAAGCAGGAAAAGTCAATGGAACACATCCTTGGTTAACAGCAACTTAAGAAGTTTCTTGTTATAAATAATGTACATAAACAAATCAAACTGTCAAATCAGGCAAACAAGTAGAAATACATGCACACCCCACTGTGTCCTAAAGCACACGATTCTCTACACTGAAGACCAGTGGGAGAACTTAGCAACTACCCAGTCAGTCCAGACACAGTGAATCAGAGTTAGTTGCTGGATTTACAACTGCCTTAGAAGCATTATAGATTCATAGTTACTATTTTCTCCTCTGAAAAGTCTTCGTATAAAATCAAATCTCATCTTAAACTAGTTTATTTTACAAAACAGTAATTCAAGATAATGAAGACTATGTAGCAGACAACTTTTAAGTATCTGCCTACCCAGCTCCCAACACCCTGCATTCTAGGAACTGCATTCCCAGCAGTCATCTAGATGCCATGTCACTCTGGCCACGCTCACGAGTCACTAGACCATGTGAAAACGTGAGATCCCTTTCTCATATGAGATAGTTCTTTCTCCTAGGATTCTGAAATTGGGACTCAGTGACTGTCAGTCTGTCAGTGTGGTTGGAACAAATATATAAACTCAAAAACTCTACAGTAATAGCAGGAGAATCGGCAAGGCTCAACCAATGGGAATCTGTGACAAGAAGAGGAAAGAAATTCTCTTGTCTTCTACCTTACTGTTCCTATCAGTAGTCTCTCCTAGACAGGGGCCTTATACCTCTATTTAGAGTTTTATTTAAAGAGCTATAGAGAGTTAACATTCCAGATTCCAATCAATTTACTTAATAAATCTATTTTCAAGACATACTCTATAGCAGCAGTCGCCAACCTTTTGGACCTCGCAGACCACCAGTGGTCCATGGACCACCGGTTGGCAACCGCTGCATACAGTAAAACTATTGCTGAAAAGAGAAAACCAGAAAAGCAAGGGTATGACGTATTCTCTCAATTAATAGTTATTTCTAGTCTGTTCGAACTTAACCCAGCATTAAAGGTAAGCAGTATATCAGTTTCTATAACACCTAAAAAAAGAGGAGACATTATAGAGAAGGATTGAAGCCACTGACTTCTAGATAAATATACTGATGGTACTGACATACCACCCAAAATTTATCTTACCTGAGAAAATCCTCCCAAAACAATTCTGTCTGAAGGAATGCCATTCTTCACCTCTTGGTCTATCAAAGTTTTTACTAAAAACAACATGAAAGTGATATTACTAATACTTTCAGCTCATTGATACAATTTAAATAGAAAAAGGATTTAATGACAGAAAAATAGAAAGTATATTAAAGGTCAAAACAAGTGAAAAACTTGAAGCATTCTGCTAAAATAGAAAATTAGAATGCCATTTTCATGATAAAACTCGGATTTTGCATGTGGTGCTTACACTGGTGAATTGTTTCTTGTTACATAATTTGTAAAACATGTAAAATATGTGAATACTCTTTTATGCATGGCCAATTCTGTTCATATACATTTTATATTTCTCTCTTCAAGGGACCATAGGCATTTGTATCTAAAAGTTATAATTTAAAATTTTAAGTAATTAAGCAGATTGCATGGTTTGTGATTTACAGTATTTAAACAGTTCATTCTATTATCTTTTTTTTTTTAATGGCAGTATTATATTTTCCTATAGCCAGTATAAGAAACAAATGAGTTTTTTCTTTCTGCAGTGATGAGAAAGTCATTGATCAGCTGCCTCCTGCACGCCCCACACTGGGGATTGATGTTCCCTGACAGAGAATCGAACTGTGACCTTCTGGTTCATGGGTCGATGCTCAACCACTGACCTACACTACCTGGGCAGTCCGTGTTCGTTATGCAAAATAATAAGCAAGATTAAGACATTCATAAGGCAGCATGGAAAACTAACCAGAGAACAGACTTTGGAGATGGGAATACTTGTTTCATAGGAGTGTTAAATGAGATGATTTATAAGAATTACCTAGCTTTTTTAATATTACCACACTAAAATTAACCATTATATTGTTTTCATTATATGTATCATTACATCATTATATCATTATTTTCATCCTTATTTCAAGTCTCCTTAATGAAGATAACTGGCCACAGCTATTAAACATTTTGTTATTTTCTCCATTTGATATGTAAACCAAAGCAAAATTAATTATCCAACAGTTGAAGTTTAATAACTGCCATTCCTCCCTGTCCACCTCACCTTCACTGAGCATAGTTAGACCATGTGGCCATCACAGCAAACAAGTTAGAGAGGGATCAGAAAGGAAGTAAACAGCACCACCTCCCAAGTTCACATAATTGTGTAATAATTCATCAACATCAATAAAACTGTTGTCTATTAAAAATATATAAGTATGCTCTTCACCGCCGGGGAGGTGGAGCATGAGCGCATGTGTTAGGACCCGAAAGATGGTGAACTATGCCTGGGCAGGGCGAAGCCAGAGGAAACTCTGGTGGAGGTCCGTAGCGGTCCTGACGTGCAAATCGGTCGTCCGACCTGGGTATAGGGGCGAAAGACTAATCGAACCATCTAGTAGCTGGTTCCCTCCGAAGTTTCCCTCAGGATAGCTGGCGCTCTCGCAGACACGCAGTTTTATCCGGTAAAGCGAATGATTAGAGGTCTTGGGGCCGAAACGATCTCAACCTATTCTCAAACTTTAAATGGGTAAGAAGCCCGGCTCGCTGGCGTGGAGCCGGGCGTGGGGAAAAAAAAAAAAAAAGAAAAATATATAATATATATATATATATATATATATATATATATATATATATATATGCTCTTGTTTATAAAACTACTCTGTACTTACCATATTCTGCTGCATGTTTAATTCCAGGTTCATCCTCCTGTGAATCTGGTGAAAGCCCAATAATATCAAACCTGGAAAATAAGGCAAAATCTTAAAAGAATATCTATTCATGGTAAGTGTGTTCTACTAAACTTGTGGTAGTTGGGATAAAAAGTACTGGCATACATATTCTCTAGAACAGTGTTTCCCAAACTTTTGACATATGTGTACCCCTTTTATAATTTTCGTAACGCTGAGTACCCCTCTTACTCATGAGAACGTAGAATTAGGCACAGCTAAGCACAGTGCAGTGCATATCCCCACCAAACTCCGGTGCAACACGTACCCCCACCAAACTCTTCCCGTACCCCTGGGGGTACGCGTACCACACTTTGGGAAACACTGCTGTAGAACATGAAATCAATTAAAATGTCTTCAGAGGTGAAACAATTAAATGCATGACTGACATTCTCGTTCCTTTCATCCCAACTAGATATAGATTCTAATGTTAAGTCACAGTGCTACATAATTTTAGGATAAGAATATCTAAGAGATAATCTAGTCCAATCTTTCATCCAAGCAGGAATCTCAATCCATACTCCCAAGAAGTTTCAATACATTTCAGTTACTCCTTTCCTCTTTTATTGTACTAGAGGCCCAGTGCACAAAATTCGTGCTTGGGATGTGAAGTGTCCCTCATCCCAACCTGCACCCTCTCCAATTTGGGACCCCTCGAGGGATATTAAACTGCCCGTTTAGACCCGATCCCACCAGACATCCCTCTCACAATCCAGGACTGATAGCTCCCAACTGCTTGCCTGCCTGCCGTCCTGATTGCCCCTAACCGCTTCTGCTCGCCAGCCTGATCACCTCCTAACCACTCCCATGCCAGCCTGATTGATGTCTACTCCCCTGCCAGCCTGTTTGCCCCCAACTTCCCTCCTCTGCTGGCCTGGCCACCCCTAACTGCCTTCCCCTACAGGGTTGATCACCTCCAATTGCCCTCCCTTGCAGACCTGGTCCCTCCCAACTGCCCTTCTCTGCTGGCCATCTTGTGGTGGCAATCTTGTGTCCAGATAGGAGCATGATCTTTGACCTCATGGGGCAGCCAGCTTGTGTTTGAGTGATGGTCAATCTGCATATTACTCTTTTATTAGATGGATAGAGGCCTGGTGCATGGGTGGAGGCCGGCTGGTTTGCCCTGAAGGGTGTCCTGGATCAGGGTGGAGGTTCCCTTGGGATGTGGGGTGGCCTGGGCAAGGGGCCTGTGGTGGTTTGCAGGCTGGCCATGCTCCCTGGCAATCCAAGCAGAGGCCCTGCTATCTGGAATTTATTTACCTTCTACAATTGAAACTTTGTAGCCTGGAGCAGAGCCAAGCCTCCTGCTTGCTCCATGGCTGCAGTTATTTCTGTTTGAATTTGTTTACCTTCTATAATTGAAACTTTGTTTCCTTGAGTGGAGGCGTAGGCCAGCCAGGGCAGGTGGAAAGCTTTGCTTCTCTGTTACCGAGGGCAACCCTAGCCTGCTCTCTCCACTCTATGGCTGCTATCATTTTTTTTTTTATTTATCTTCTATAATTGAAAGTTTGTATCCTTGAGTGGAGGTCTAGGCTGGCCAGGGTGTGTGGAAAGCTTGGCTTCCTCTATTGCTGGGGAACCCAAGCCTCTCAACTGCCCTCTGTGGCTGCAGCCATCTTGGTTGGGGTTAATTTGCATACTCACTCTGATTAGCTGGTGGGCGTGACTTGAGCAGAGTGTTGGCTAATTTGCATATTACTCTTATAAGGTAGGATAAGTTGCTGAAACTGGTTTGGCTCAATGGATAGAGCGTCGGCTTGGGGACTGAAAGGTCCCGGGTTCGATTCCGGTCAAGGGCATGTACCCTGTTTGCAGGCACATCCCCAGTAGGGGGTGTGCAAGAGGCAACTGATCGATGACTCTCTCTCATTGATGTTTCTAACTCTCTATCTCTCTCCCTTCCTCTGTACAAAATCAATAAAATATATATTTAAAAAAAAAAAAAAAGAGGGCCCAAGAGGAAATGGCTTGGTTAAAGAATTCATCAATCAATCAATCAAATAAATAAATAAATAAATTCATCAATCTTCCCCAAAAGGGAAGAAATAGAAGTGTAAAGAAGCTGTTGCTTAACCAGAGTAATTGCTAGATGGGGTCATTCAATGTTTGGTTATTGA